CTTAGCAAAATCAAAATACACAACATGATTGATAATGTTTTCGTTAAGAGACAATGCCAGGCTATCACAAAAGTCAACCATATTGGTTGTGCATGACTTGTGCTCTAGAAAACCATGCTGCCTGGGATCAAGAAGGGTACTTGTCAAAGAAAGCAGTTTACGTTTAACAATGCGCTCAAAAACTTTCATGACTAAACAAGTAAGGGATATTGGTTTATAGTTTTCAACCTCACTTTTCTTATTGAACCACTAGTTTCCACCAGTTTCCAAAACGAAGTACGAGGATATATTAACTTTGAGCTTTGTTTTGGCGACTGCTTCATCGATGGGCGAGTAGGTATTTGTTGTTTAGCAGTGTTGAATATTGGAGCAATTATATAATATAATGCAATGTATATCTCCATCATAATATAGGCTAGTGTTAACATATATAATCAATGATACAAACAAATGGTATAAGTAACTCGCTAGATTATAGATGTTATTTAAACACATATGTTTACGTCAATTATTACTAAAATTAATATTCTTTTTGCTTTAATATAATTACATGTCACATAATGGATTAGTTGAATGAAACGTGTGCTACAAATGTCTACGCCTCACGCAAAACTGCGTACCGCTTAGTACTTCATGCTTGAGCGGTACTGCGGTTGACAGTGGCGCGCACTCAATTTTATCACAAATAACGAGCGCGCGGTTTTTTGGAATCTCTCCATTATTATATTAATTAGGTCGCAGTGTTCACGGCCTGTACTGCGTGAACGACAGAAATATCTTTCTTTTAAATTATTTTGCATCTGAAATTTTGGCTCTAGAAATTAAGAAATGTGACATGTAATTGTAAGATAACAATTAAATAGATAAGGTGCGCGGCGCCTACAGCTGACCTACGAATTTCTGAACAATTTTAAATTGTGGCTGTGTGCGCGGCGTACTGTGTATGTGTTTGAAATTGAAATTTGAATTTATTTATGAATATAACATTATGTATTGATTGTTTTGTGGTAAATAAAAATTTTTCTTTCCTAAAAAAAAAATTTTTCTTTCCTAATTGTAAGATAACAATTAAATAAATCCTGTGCGCGGCGCCTACAGCTGACCTACGAATTTCTGAACAATTGAAAATTGTGGCTGTGTGCGCGGCGTACTGTATATGTGTTTGAAATTGAAATTTGAATTTATTTATGAATATAACATTATGTATTGATTGTTTTGTGGTAAATAAAATTTTTCTTTCCTAATTTTTCTTTCCTTTAAAAAATTTTAAAAATTAACTTTGCAGTTAGTTTTCTCAACGTCTGGTGGATTGGGTGGTGAAGCTGAAAGACTTGTAAAGAAGCTGGATAGTAAAATGGAATACCAGACAGGGCAAAGGTATTCAGATGCTGTGGGATACATAAGGAATCGCTCTTGTATCGAAATCCTAAGAACAACAGTGATTTCTTTATAGGAGACATAGGTCAGAAAAAGAACTTTGTTGATATATATATAAGTCTAAAACTCTGGTCACAAGAGCAACTACCTAAACGTGCAGAAGTGAACACATAAAATACTAGCAATCCTTTAAATTCGCAATGAATAAATTTGTTCAATGTCATAAAATTCTTAAAACCACATCTACGTGACCAGTAAATAATTTAATCAGTCTATAGACTACTGTATAAAATTCTCAATATAAACTTTTAAACAATAATAAATTAATTAAAAGCACACAACAACCTTTGGTGTGTAAAAATGATTAAACAACCTCATTTTGACACAAAATATCTTTCATAATATTATAGTATATGCTATAATATTAAAACTGTTTAGTTGAGTTCAGGTAACAGAATTTAACTGTAATAGCACCTTTGCTGTGTTATCTATTGTTGAGATGTAGCCATATTTTCGTCAGGTCTAGCATTGAACCCGGCTCATGAAATATATACTTCGTCCGGTCTAACATTGAACCCGGCTCACTAATCATAGGGGTGGTGTAGTATAGTAGTTGGAATATGATCAACTTTTTATAGTTTTATCTCTATTCGAAGGAATTCTTCTGCATCCTTTGTTATTCTTCTGCATCCTTTGTTAACAGTATCTACCACGCCCTTGACTGTAAACTAGGTGGTTACGTTAGCATGCGCCACAACGCTATTAGAGATTCTATCTTTTTGCTGGAAGATGCTGCAGTGTTTACAGGAAACACTGACATAGACGTAGAAGGAGCGAGCGAGCGAGCGAGATGGCTAGTGACCGCAAACTTTGGAGGGAGATGATACGTCACAAACGGGAGTTCATTGGTGCAGGCCACTCGAATGATTGAGGAGACCTAATCAAGTACAAGTAAGTATTGTTTCTATTAACTTTGCAGTTTTGGAATCTGATCTAGAACATGCAAGTCTCTTCTTTTTCGCCTCACATAGGACAGGCACTGGTGTTTGATCTGCAAATGATAGTGACGCTTTTTTTTAATAACAGTGTCCCGTGATAAGGTACATTGCAGTTATATTTTTCTGCCTCTTGTTACTGAGTGTAGTGTCCAAGTTTCTGATGATGGTGGCATGTTTTTTACCCATTATCATCTTAGTGTGCCATTTTAGACCTATCTTCCTGATCCAGTCTGGTAACATTACTGTTGATCAGGTGTTTGATTTGAGATTGTCAATGAAACAAGAAAGTTTTCAATGAAACAAGAAAGTTTTCAATGAAACAAGAAACAATCCTCATGAAAATGATTTTATAGTTTGTAGTTGTTTCTGTTTCTGACAGTGTCTACCACGCCATTTCCCATTGATCATTGATTGTAAATTAGGTGGATACGTTTCCATGCACCACAATTCCATAAAAGATACTGCAGTTTCTCTTTAGGAAGCAAAGTGTAAGGATGGAAGGATAGAACCTGCACTCCTGCCAGTCCAACCAACTTCATTCTCCAGGAAGACCAACACCCAGGATGAAGCCCGTCTTGATGTAGCAGCTGTTGGACTGTATGCACCCTTCAAACGTCAGGGTCACTCATCCTAATTGCTACTCAAATACGTTTAGGCCACTAGATAAAATCTACAGTGCGCATGAGAAAGAGAAGAAAGATCTCTATGAAGAAGAGTACTTCAGTCAGAGAAAGGGTCCTTTGTCCCACTAGTCTTTACAACATCTGGAGGTATGGGACCACTCTGCACTGTGATCGTAGATAGTATCTCTGAGATGATAGCTGACCATAATAAAGAAGTTAAGAGCCAGGTCAAAAATCACATCAGAACGCGATTCAGGTTTGATCTGCTACGAAGCACACTCATAGCACTCAGGGGAATCAGAGGATGATGCATCCTTCAACCCATCCCTCAGAAGATGAGCTATGAGGTCTCCTAAGTTTGTTTATGTAAATTTTATAGATAATTTATTGTAGCTTTTATATTATGTAAAATTTTACGGATGAAATGATCCCAGGGGAGACTCCCAACCCACCGCTTCGACGGGTAGTTTATACATCTTTCACAAACAAGAGCCACTTTGGTCTACTTGCTGTGAGGTGTCTCAGCTACATGGGTTGGGGGTCACAAGATGTCACCCAGAAGACAGAAGTGTTTGTATACAATATACATATGTGGACTATGAGAATCGGAATACTAGCTTGGAAGTTGGAATATCGCTTGTATTGTAAGTATAAGTAAGTCACGCGACGTGATAGTAGAGTGTAGAGTGAGTAGTCATAATTCACGAAACTGTGATGAAATGGAGCTACCTTAAGGCCAATAAATTTGGTTCACAATAAATTTGGTTACAAAAATTTTGGTTACCATAATTTTAGCCACACATTTTTAGTCTACATTAATTTTAGTCACATTTTTCAACTTTTCGAGACCATTTTCCATTCCATTTATTTTATTTTTCCATTATTTAGCTACTTTTTTCCCAGATTTTGCACATGATCATCAGTCATACTTTAAATTCATACTTTAAAGTTTAACGGCAGGCATGTTGATTAAATGATTTGTTGCATAAAGCAATTTATATTATTTGTAAACATAAAAGCAATGGATTGCATGTGTAATAGACAATAGTCTAAGTATTTCAGCAACTTAGCAACGGTGATGTCATTATATTAATTATAAACAATGTAAGCTCAATGATATTCATGTCATATATGCTCTACTGAAATTTTGGTCTACTTTCAAATTAGTCGCTGAAAAATTTCGCCTCAATAAATTTGGTTGACTAAATTCATGGTAGACTAAATTTGTCGTTCTTAAGGTATCTGGTACATTCTTATATCCATAACTTCAGGGGGGGGGGGGGGGGGGGGGGAATCATGAGTATTTTTGAGAGTCCCGACGAAGATGGCCAAATTCTCAAAAATTATTTTTGAGTACTTTTGAGAAAAGGCGAAAAACTCATTTTCAAAAATTGATTCTCATCTCAATTGGACCACATTGCACTGATATGAAGAATGATTTGGTATATCACTATTTTTGAGTGGACAATTTTTGAGAAAATTAAAAATCCATGCTGAATTTCTCTTTTTGAGACATTTTTGAGTATTCCCGGCGAAAATGGTAAAATTCTCAGATTCAAAAATTCTCAAAAATACTCATGATCCCCCACTTCACCCAACATGAAAATCATTCACCATTTTGCACCATTTTTATTTTTATTTCGAAATATCAAATTGAAATATTATATGTGTATTCTGGTAAGTTATACGACAATACCAAGAGCTCGGTTTCCATCTACCTACTCACCAAGTTCACTATAAGCTTTCTCTCCATTTTCACTAAAAGTTACCAGTTTTGATGTTCCAGTTTTTGAGTACCATGGTCATCATGCTTGTCATGTCTCTCAGTAAAAGTGGAAATGCCTCATACAAGTATTATCCTTTGATATGTGGAGTGCAAGTGTCATGACTATTGACTATAATGATCTATATTCTATAATTATACACGCAGACTAGGTCGGTGGAACTTTTAAAACTTTAAAACTTTAAATAATATAACTGCTGTATTAAAAAGATTACCTTTAGTAGGTAATGAGTGAATCAGTCCCAGAAAATGTGACTAAATCATCGTTTACCCCTAAATATTCAGGTATGTTTTCTGTTTAATAATGTTAACAACCTTCTGACAGATTTAGTTTAACAGAATAATGTGATTTAATAATATCAAACTAACAATATAATTTATTTAGAAGACCACATAATAACTGAATATCACTTCAATATCTGTTGCAATGATAAGTAAAAAGTTCTGATAACAAATAAGTGCAGTATAGAAACATTTCCAATTTTCCGAATTTTCCATCATGCACATATAATTTATTGTTCATGTGAATGTTAATTAATATGTCATGGATATTGAATATTGATGTTACATTTATCGAGAAATGTGTATTGTGATCATAATGTCACGTTGTTATTCGTCGTTATTACTAAGTGTTTGCTTATTTATTGCAATTAGAGAATATGGTGTTGATAAGTTGAGGTTATCTTTTTGTTTCTGCGGAACTTTAAACATATTCTAGTATAATCAAGATTATAAACTCAAAGGATCAGGATTATGTCTGCTGTAATTAGGACTTATTAACCAAGTTAATTTTTCAGACAAGACTGCTGAACAGTCATTTTCTGAGAGAGCATTATTTGGTAAGTCAAAGACTTAGCACTTGCCTAAGCATGCCCAGTAAAACTAATTATTCTATAAAAATGCACATATTTTTTGTGTTACACAGCTTGTATTTAAATTAACCCAGTCAGCTTAATCTGTCGACAACGCTGATAACAGCGTGATAAGAGCTTTTGTTGGTTCTGGCCAACTTTGCAACATCATGTATTATGACAACTCTTTTCGGATAACCTTTTATTTATTTCAGTTTTTAATATTTGCTATGATACAACAGAATCTGAACTGAAAGAGTTATTCCTCAGATTTGGACCTGCCAAAGTCAAGTATGATATTTACTGAATTTCATTGCTGACCGTCTACAATTTTCTTATCTATCGAAAAAGCCATGATTTAACATTATACCTATTCTCAATTAACATCAGTACCAAGTTAACTGTAATTGGCTGTCATGCAGGTTAATGATGACAGAGCACTCCAGCAAGAACAGAGGACACGCATTTGTTGAATATCACGACCCTTCCCACGCCAAAGAGGCCGTTAAACATCTCAATGGGTTCTCTTTACAAGACACTAAGATAAAAGTTCAGTTTAACACAAAGCAACCTCCTTGGTACGCCGGAAATCACAACAATAATCGAAGTAAGTTAAGTAAGTTAAGTAAGTTAAGTAAGTTAAGTAAGTTAAGTAAGTTAAGTAAGTTAAGTAAGTTAAGTAAGTTAAGTAAGTTAAGTAAGTTAAGTAAGTTAAGTAAGTTAAGTAAGTTAAGTAAGTTAAGTAAGTTAAGTAAGTTAAGTAAGTTAAGTAAGTTAAGTAAGTTAAGTAAGTTAAGTAAGTTAAGTAAGTTAAGTAAGTTAAGTAAGTTAAGTAAGTTAAGTGAGTTAAGTGAGTTAAGTAAGTTAAGTAAGTTAAGTAAGTTATGTAAGTTAAGTAAGTTAAGTAAGTTAAGTAAGTTAAGTAAGTTAAGTAAGTTAAGTAAGTTAAGTAAGTTAAGTAAGTTGCCATTTTGAAATGACCTCACAGCTCCAGCGTGTCTAAAAGTATTTTTACATAACTTACCTTCAAGTGATTCGCTATTCATCCCAAAAATGTGTTAAAAGGCGAACTTTTTATAACTTTATATAAGGCGTTTTTCATGTTATTTATACGTCATCAACTCTGCGTCATAGCGTGTAAAATATATGGCATATTAGCACACCCAACAACACTTTACATACCTCACGATTCAACTATTCGGATATCTTAATTTTCCTACATGACTTTTATGGCTTAGCTTCATTAAAAAGTCTAAAAAACTTGATTTGTTTTTAAAAACGTGATTTGTATTAAAGAGTGGTTTCTTTATCTAATATCTATGTATTTAATCAAAGTCTGTCTAGTCACTACATTGACTAGTCACTACACTGTCTACATAAGCATAAATTAAAAATGCAAGTTATTTGTTTAAATGTCTATCCCTGATACGCTAGATTTTTGTGGTTAATATACTTAATTATCACATTGTTATGTTATGAGGTGGTGCATTTTTGTTACTCATGACATCGAATTACGAATTTTATTGGTCATCAACTAATCACTGTTACTTGTCAAGAATTATGCTGCGTCTCCCTTATAAATATAGTAGTCTATGGTGAAGTCTATAAATGAACTACGAAACTATGTCAAGGAGTGCAAGTGTATTTGGTACATAATGCTATTCTTAGAATCCTGACCAGCACCAAACTCTAGCTACATAGATTTAGTTAGCACCTGTGGCCAGCTAGTAACTAATATTATGACGTCCGTCAATTTTGCTTACTTCTTCTTTCATAGATACATAAAAGGTCGGTACCTTTGACGCGACAGTAGAAACATACCCAAAGAAGACACATTCAAGCCATTCAAGCGTGTCCTAGTACGGAAAAAACAACACTTAGTGAACTTAAATACTTTGCTAGCCAGCAAATTATCATACTAAATACCTAACATACACATCACAATATTGACTGTCACGCACATTTTTTGTAAGATGCCATAAGTCAAACTTTAGTACATCTAAAGCGGTATTTTCTTGTTGTAGCTGGAAGATATGTGATGAGACGTGGTCCAATTCCTTCTATTTTTGCGCTGAATCTTTCAAAAGATCTCTTTACTTTGACAAAGCCTTTAAAGATATTTATCAAAGATAAATCTATTAGTATTAATTTAGTAGACTGTGGTGTTAATCGCTGCTTACCTCACGGTTGAGTGGCTAGGCTTTACAGTTTACATTAGAGTCAAAGTTTTATATTATGTATCCGTGTAAGTCAGTCAGTCAGTTAATATTATTTTTTTATTTATATCATATTGAATTATGTCCAATCTCATTTTGTTTTAAAAACAACTTTTACCAAAAAAATCACCGTCGTCGATCAATTTGTAATTGTCTTATTCAATACATTTAAGTTGATGTTTTCTTCTCCTTTTCTAACGGTTAATAATTTCTACAGATAAGAACGACAATCCTCCATCAAACTCAGTTTATGGTTAGTTTACTTTTCAATCATTTAAATTTAATAATGTTATTGGAAAAATAATATTATTACTGTATAACGCATATATTTAAACGTAATATTTAAAAATGAATACAAGTTCAAACAAAAAACTCGAATATGCGAAGAAAAAAAAATTAATTTATATTCTATTTTATATTCGATATTACGATTCTATTTTATATTCATCCATTGCTGTACTTAGTAAAATTTGAAAAGTATTTAATAAAAAAAAAATGTTCAGTTCGCAACTTAGACAACTCAATAAGTACAGAGGACTTAGAAGGACAGTTTGCACGATTTAATCCTCTTAAAACCAGGTAAATTAATTAACAAATTGTGAATTAATGTGCGTTTATTTTAAGCGACACCCTTAATCCTTATCATCCTAACGAACGGACTTGTTTTGCTATTTAGTCTCGTTACTTTTGTCTTCGTAGTTCGTATATTATAAATATCCGTTCAGCAGTAATGACTAATGAAAACTCTTTGTTATTGATATATGTTCTGGCAGATGACCATACTTTACTGTTCAGCAGTAATGACTAATGAAAACTCTTTGTTATTGATATATGTTCTGGCAGATGACCATACTTTACTGTTCAGTGGTAATTACATTAGTGGTAATTATACTAGGTAATTATACTAATATACTAGTGGTAATTACTAGTGGTAATTATATTAAAAGCAATGAGTTTTAAACGCTTTATTAAGTTACAAATATACGAAAATATGTGACGCAACACTCTCGACATAGGTGATCACATAGCATTCCTAATTTTCGCGTCATTCTATATTAAATCACTTTCATATCCCTTATATATTTATGCTCGGAGGGTCCCAGGACTCTATTATTATTATCATTCGTTTATTTCAGTTTGGTAATCGATCACGTGACGAAGCGAAACAAAGGTTATGCTTTTGTAGATTTCCATTCCATCGAGGACGCAGCTAACGCGATAAAACACACTAATGGGGCCATGTTCTTTGGAAGGCAGCTACACGTGGAGTTCAGTAATCGTTCTTCCAATCTAGATTGTAAGTGTTAAATTTCCACCGCGACCGTTCGACCTTACCGGTTACTTTGTAATTGTGGCCGTTTATTGAATTGTTTATTTATCTTTTATAAACGGATTTGAGTGTTGCTGCTTTTGCCTTTCCGAATTCCATTATCGCTTCAAGATGCTGAGTGTAGGCCACCTCCGTAAGTTTTGGTTGATCTTATCTATAATTTGAATGTTATATCATCGGCTGACAATAACAGCAAGAATTGGTCTTCTAGTCAAACATGGAATAATTAACTAATTGAATAAAATATTCGATTGATTTGTCTTGTAATAAGTAAGCAGCGATTAGTATTTAGTTGTCATGTATGTTAAAATATATAATAGTGGGTATAATGCCCTCAAATCTGGAACTATTTTTACAGGATTGCCGCGATCGTGGTACCAGCCCAGCTATAAAATTGTAGCTGACAGTTATTGAAGCTAGACAAAATACTTTCCAACACTTCACACTGCTGTTTTCACAGTCGTGTTGTTTTCATCACTGCAATTTTAAAATTTCCTATGACAAAAAATGTGGTTGGATACTTCATGGAAAGTATTAACCGTTATCGGCGATTAGAGTGAGATAATTGCCTCGTTGGGTAAAATACGATACAACAAGTGTTTAAAAGAAGGTGCCGTATTTGTACCACAGCACAAAAGAAGGTGCCGTATTTGTACCACAGCACAAAAGAAGGTGCCGTATTTGTACCACAGCACAAGTTAAACAAGGTACTGAAGCTCGGAGGCCAGGCTCCGTGTAGACCAACTTACTTACTTACTTACTTAGGTGCTAAATCTAAATTTTATAAACTTTAAAAAACCAATAAGTTACATTCCAGCGAGTCACACACAACTCCCAATAACGTAGCTAACTTAGCCTTGGTGTATAAAGATAAATAATTGTAATTGAAATATGAATCTGAATTTTTATTGTGTATGTGGAGAGTTGCTGTTCAGTACGATAATTATATCCAAGAAATCCTAAAAAAGTGGGCGATAAAGTTTCAGAAATGAGAAATTCTCAGCTTCAATAACATGCGAATATTTGTTTGTATCAAAAGAAGTTGATTTGTGTCAACTTGCCACCACCGCGCCGACCGGTATAGTAAAGCAATTGTATAAATTATGATCTAAAACTGCAACTGCTTTGAAGTTTGAATGTTCTCTTCCAATTTGAGATACGAAATGAATCTGTCAAATCTAATAATTGAAAAATATTAAGATAAAAAACGCATGGTCTGGGCGGCTGAATGAAATAATAATAATAATAAATTGAATTATAAACACTGCTTTTAAGTTGAAAAACTTTTACTCAGCTGTGTGAGAATAACTACAAAAGAACAAACTGAGATAAGTGCCACAAAAACTCTATCCTAAATTAACAGCCTTCCCGGCAATACACGATTTAATAATTTGTTATTTCAGCTCGAAAGTCGGAATCAATCAGCTCGCTGAACAGTGATTTTGACGACCTGGAATTGATTAAACTGCGTCAAGATCGTGAACGTCTTGAAGAAGAACTTTTCGAAAAGAAGGGAGAACTTGAGGATGCAAAAGCCGCACAGGTAATGTTAATAGGACCAAATAAGGTGTGGGGATAAAGGCCCACTGTGATCTTGTTATGTTCCATCCGGGTATGATCCAATTATCTTATCAGAGGTTGTGTGCAGATGTTTACAATTTAAATTTTACGTGAGATTTTGCGCAATTTCATCAAGGTGACCCTTCAATAAGTACTTTCGCATGACTTTAGTAATTTATAGAATAAAGGCGCTTATTTTGGCACTTGTTGTGCTTCTTACTTTTATGTTCAAGCGTTGAATTCACGATAAAATATCTTATTGGGGGTCATAAAACGCCACGCGCGGCGACATTTATGTGACGTAATGTTTAAAGCTTACGCTAAGTTTGTCCTAAAACTCTCGATTTTATCACGCGCAGCGCTGCAACTTGTCCGATGGCTGTCCTTTTCTCTGCATATTTCTTCTCTCCAAACCGCGTGTGGAGTAATATTCAGCCATAACAACTCTATGTTACCTTCTTATCTCCTCCAAACAGTGCGAAGATTCGATCCAAGATGTCAGAGAACACATTTGGAGACTCCAAGATGACATAGCTCGCATTAAGTATGTAAAATATTCAGGATTTGCATTTTAATTGCCTCGGAATGTTTTGATGAATGCATGAAACTACACATTGCTCGACTTGGTCGAAGCCATATTCGACCTGAATTTTACTGTGCAGGTTAACGGAGGACTATCCGCCAACCAAACTAAGATCAAGGTCGCAAGACAAACGGAAAAAGAAGCGCCGGTCGGACGAAGGTGATCTGTATTATTCAGACGAACGAGAAAACACGCCGGGAGTAGAAAGATCCTACACTCCTACCAGTTTTGGAAGTAGACGATCTCATCATCGTGGCAGCATTTCCTCTAACAGCGTACGTTAAATTCTCTGCAACACGAGACAGTGGTTTAAAATGTTACCATTTCACACTTTATTTAAAGTCCTCTGGCTGATATGCACATATTTTTTGATACTTTACACCATTTTGGTACATTGCCAGTCTGTGCACAGTTTGCTGCTGCATGAAACCTTTCATTTTTTATAGTCGCAAGGTGACGATGGGTACCTGGAACACCGTGTTTTCGTCGGGGGTCTCAATCACACCACCACCCCTGAAACCTTTAAAGGGTTCTTTTCTAAGTTTGGTAAAATCAGCAGCTACTTTCTGAAGTGGGATAAGATTTCAGGACGGAACAAGTATGTGAACTGTCTCGTTTATGTCTTTACTTGTATGCTATTTTTATTTCTCTACGCCCTGTAATCAATGTTTACTGATCACTGATGACTGCTCTATATTATGGCGGGATACTATCAGCGGGATACTATCATCTTCAATGAAATAACATATTTGGTGAATTAATAAATATCTTCAGGGGATTTGGCTTCGTGTCCTACGACACAGCAGACCAAATGGAGAGTCTACTAGCAACGCACAAAGATAACAATGTCTGCATAGATAATCATGTGGTCAACATAAAGCGGGTCTTCCCCGAGTCGGTTCGTAAAATTAATTTGGGTACTTTAATACTGTAGGATGAACAGTTATGAAATGCTGCAAAAATGAGACAAACTGAAGAAAACCAGACTCAATATTCTGTCAAAGATAATCAGTTTAAGTCTATGACGAATAACAATAATTATTGGGTTTCTGGCCTGGTGGCAGGCTCAAAACGCGATATAACATATCGATCATTTGTTACGTTCATCTTCAGTTCCTTTGAGAGTAGCGAACAAAATGAAGGATTGTCAGACTAACGTGATCGTTTCGATAACTTAAATAAAAACACTTAAATTATGAATTACATGCCTCCTTAGTACGTTTCGCCATTCCCTCTGAACATACCTCCAATGCTATGTCGGTCAGCTCCCCACTTCACGGATCCTCCTTCCTACTGTGACGAACGGAACCCTCTGCCTGATGATCCGAAAATAGTGGAGTTCTTCTATAACCTGGGAATTCACGTGAGTCCTCATTTCTTTGCTCGAGCTTCTCAATTTATAACTAGACAATAGACATAACTCTACAATATTAAGTATGTGTTTATTGTATTTCAACTGAGCGTTTACTTCAGCACTACAATCTTCTCCGTATAAACGTCTACCACTGGAACCTGTTATTCCCTGGTAACATGTTTAGTAACTCTAAAATGGATTCAGCTCCTCCCACCCGACAACCTTCCCCCGCTCCTCCGCCCTTCCCCGCTCCTCCAGTTAGTCTTACTCTTCTTAAACCTATTTATTGGTTACCTTTTAAAAATATATGTCTGGTTAGACCTCAAGAAATGACTTCGTTATTTTCTAATGATTTGATCAAACTTACAATGTTTCTATAATCTATGTAGGTATTTCGTCAGGCGATGCCAGTGTTTTCGAATTTGGAGCAGCAGCACCGGCCAGCAAGTCACATGGGTCCGATGATGCCGGCCCATCTCCAGAACCACAGGAACATGTATCCTCAACAAAACAACTATCCTCGGCACAACACTCCTGTATTTCACGACATGATAAACATACCCAATAAGTTCTACAAGTAATACATTTTATAATTTCGGCTAAGCGGGGATAAATAAATTTTCCTTATTTTCATTTCTACCATCATAGCATCCAAATTCTACCCATAAATTAAAATTTGATAGTTTTTAGAATTTTCACGCCACCTACCGACTAGTTCATCCTCAAGAACAACCCACAAGACATCACGGGCTTCCACTCCACAGCACTCAACCGCAGCTGCAGTAATTATACCACCTACCAAAACCGTACCCTATCAACCACCTTCAAAAACCGATAAAGATTTGATTAAGAAACTTCTTATCTTCCAAAATTTGATGATGCAGAGGTTTGTTAGATACAGCATCTCTTTACAGAAGCAGGATTTAGCTGAGCATCTTCAATTTTCATTTCATTATCATTTCAATATCATGTGCACATTCGCCGTAAGATCGTTGAGATAGACCTTTGATTAGATATGATATTATGATTTATAACTTTTGATTAAGTTACTGAGCAACCTTGTGAGTCAAGAAGATGAGCCACATATATTTGCAAAGAATGTTTGTGCAAATCGACGTACGGAATTACTGGCTCATCATTCATAAGTTAACTCACCGAAACTAATTATATCATGATCATTGTTGGTTTAAATACTGGTTATTGTGAGGGATAATATAATGATTCAATTTCAGTAACAATAATCGCGGAGGACACCAATTCACAAACAACTCTAATAACAACAAATCGAGAGGGATTGCGAACAACTTCCATAACAACAATAACAACTATTTGAACAACTTCCACCATAACAACAACTTCCACCATAACAACAACAACAGGTGTTTGTCAAATTTTGGGCAAAATGATTTAAATCAACCGCACATTAAAATCAATTTAATCAACTCATGTTAGTTAATATTGCTGATAAAAATCAAGATGTGAGTAAATACCCCGTTGGAAAGTGATTAATGACTGTCCTTTCAGCCACCACAATACACACAACACGAACGTACGGTCTCCTTTGGAGGGTTTGCAGCAGCCAATAAGACTCCAGCAACATGATAGGAGAAATCATGTCGACCATACTAGACCTCCTTCAAACAAGGTTCTAATCATTTTAATTAGATAATTTATTCCTGGAGATGAAATTAAGACACTAATTCGCCAAGCTTAAAGTCTGTCCTTCGTAGGTTTTTTCTATAGGTTTAACGATACTATATCTCAGAGTGGTCCTGAAAAAGTAACTAACGGAGCCCCAGTTTCCTTCTCCCCAACTCATTTCTCCCCTCAATCAACGTTACAAGCTTTCTCACCGGAAATATTCTCTCCGAGCAAGGTAACGAACAGTCCGGCTCACTCCTCGCCTCCCCAGCAGCACGCTCCGACCCACCTCGCTCCCCCTGTTTCCCAACTACCCAACTCTATTGAGGAGAGCCAAAATAACAGCAGTTATGGAAGTCACGAGGATACGCTTACCTACGAGGTGCTTGACGTTTCTTTTTTATGGAACCTTCATTGAAGTTGTTCGATTGAAGCTCCGATCGGCGTAAAACGTTATCAAATTTGAAATTTGACTTGATCAAGTTTTAAATTAACTCCCCACGTGATATAACTGACTGACAATTCCCTCAGCCCAACGATCAGGTGGAACAGGGTTATACCCCAGGATACCAACCTCCCATCCCCTCCTCTCCCTCGCTTCATAAATCTCCAGCTCATCCTCTACCAGTCCAGGTTTCAACTACTACCACGTGTCTAACCGTACCGGAGATACTTATATTTTGTCTGTGGCAAGTTTTTCTGTAGAATTAAAAACGAGAAAAAGGTTTGTAGTTAAACGTTGGTATCTGAAAGTCTCCTGGTCAAAGATATCGTAACAACTTTAATATGAGTTACACAGATTGCATCTTTAATTGTTTGACAAATCTGTCTGTCAATTTGTTATATTCTACCCACCGTATCTCTGATGTTTTAAACAGAACATTATTTGGTTGTTAGTATAAGTTTCTAATTGTTACAAAAGAATGGCGAGGATTTGAGCGGGTTCTAAAGCCCTCCGGGTGTGTTCATGACACTATTGTTATTGAGCTTGTAGTGAAGAGTTACTTACGAGCGGTAACGTGTAGCTCTCCTAATTGGAGCTTGGAGCGGTATCTTGCTATTTATTTGAACATGTGGTGACTTGACTAAACTGGTGATTTTAAGTTGTCGCTTGCTTTAACTCCGTACATGTGATCGTGTCAGATTATTCGTGAAAGCAACATGATATAATGAACAAAATATATAGAGTTATCCAGACATCGCATATTCGCATACATTATGTCGACTATTGAGTCATCCAAATATAATACAAACCGTTTATAAACTGTTTATGCCATCGGTATCTAATAAATAAGTTGTGCGTAAGACAAGCAACTTTGAGGCAAGGTTGAATTTTACTGAAAGTGATAAATTATTACGTATGTCAAGTTGTGATATCACAGACGATCCCAGTCAAATCCAGAATTTGAAATCGCGAATAACACGTAACATATTTCACATATTTTACTATCCTTGTGCTCGAGAATGAAGAAGAATCATACGTTTATTCACAGATTATGAATATACAGGAATTTATAATTTTCAGAGCGCAGCATCGCCACATCAGCAGCCACTAGTATCCAATCAGCAGTCACAGACAAGTTTGCCCCAGGAGCTAGCTCTATCACCACCTCCCCTGGCTCCTAGACCCCTGGAAAGGTCCCGCTCATCTTCCGGATCTTACAGTGAGGTAACGACTAATATTGTGGTAATATTGTGGTAATATTGTGGTAATATTGTGGTAATATTGTGGTAATATTGTGGTATGATGCTATCCCTGATTGTTAGGTCCTGGTCATCGACTACAGTGGGAACCATTAAAGAGTAAATATGTCACGGTAATAATCTCTAGGGAGATTCTAGAATTAATCGCGATCCTTCGATCCAGCTGACTCAGACTAACTATTTCAGAGTCTGAACGAGAAAAGTAACACGATCCAATATTCTCACTCGGAGAAGGGGGCACAGCCTCAATACACCCACTCTGACAAAGTGACACTGCACCAGAAACCCCCACACATGACCCAAGCTCAGCTCAATATGTACTCTCAGATCCACCAGAATGTCATGCAGCCCTCTCACCGGCACCAGGTCCCACCTCGACTTCAACAGGACAAGTAAGTTTCGCTTTCTGTTGTTGGAGTTTTCCTTTTTATTTCAATTTGTGGTACAATCATGAACACTCCGGTTTGGAAACGTGTCTTTAAATGCAGAGATGAGAGTATATTAATTTATTAAACGTTATCTGAGTTGATTAAATTTGCCGTTGCCCGCCCCGACTAAACAGTTTAAAAATCTCTCAATTAAGTTTTATTATCAGGCACATGAAGCAGCAACCTGATCCAGGACCACAGGCCATCCACCCTAACCCCGGCCATCCCCACATTCCTGAAGAACTCAAAATCCACTTGAGAAACCTCCAGCAGCAAACTGGGCCGGGATTCCATGGACCTGTCCACGGACCTGGGTTTCCTGACTTCCACTCAGCGGACAAGAACCAACGTATCGATAGCAGGTCCCCTCACGGGCTACCTCCTCCTGGGTCTGTCCAGCAACGCTATAAGTTTGAGATGATTTGGTTTACTTTTCAAGCATTTCGTGATGTTCTTGGGAGACGGTCTCTACTCTCTTTGAAGAGACCGTCTCAAGATAGGCCATGAATCTTAAAGAAATCTGCCATGATATTAAAAACCTGAAATTTGTTGTGAAATGTAGAATTTACTGAGCTAAACGGACATCTTTCAGGTACAACCCCATACCATTTCTGAACCCGCAGCTGCTAAATTCGGCAATGAGCTACATCCAGCTGAGACCGGGTCTAATCCCCCAACCTATGCCACAACATCCTCTTCCTCACGCTGCACAGTCCCGGTTAGTCTTATCTATCAGCTGAGTGGGAACTTATCCTAGATTACTTGGTTCTACAAGATGTTTGGCGCTAGTTGGAACCTCTTTTTGCGTCTTTCAATTTGGCTTTGAGGCTTTTTTGCCCCCGTATTTATCAGGTTTGACTTAATACATTTCCCATTTTTAGGTACCACAGCCCACCTCCATCAGACGACGAGAGCGAAGATGACAGCAGACAATGACGAAGTCATAACTTGGGGTGATGACGTTACAATTTGAAGCGATGACGTCACGCTACGACGATGACGTAGTTCCATCATCAATCAGCGCTCTACCAAATGCAGCCAGACTCTTACATCAGCTGCTTTCTTACTTTGTTTGTTGTGTGTGTGTGTGTGTGTGTGCGCGCGTGTTTAATAGATGTTCATTGTTCAAGAAGAGAAATCATTTGACCCACGATTGGAGTGTCTGGTGACAAGATGTGTCGTGTGATCCCAATTTAGCGGATATTGTCAAAATATAAACATCAAGATAAATAGTTCTGTTAGTATGTATTGACAGGGGTCCTTAGTCTGGACAATGCGGCGCAGTTGGGTTTAAAAAAGGTCGTCTACTTGCTTTGGAGTTGACATTTGTTAACTTGATTCTAAATAAATTGATTTGCTTTATAAGTTGATCAAATTTTCATGTGGGATGATTGGTTTTTGGTTTGTAAATTTACTCATTTACATTTGAAACTATAAGTTTGACCATCAAAGTTGGTACCTATGATTTGAAACATTTAGGACGTCGTAAAATAATGGAAAATTAAAGTTAGTGTCAAACAAATTTTTAACTTTATTTATGTTGATGTAAATTATTTTTAGGGTAACTTATATTTTTAGTTTTTCTACTTTAAGCGGGAATCGTACATGTACATGACTTTTCTACCCTCTAGATACAACGACATTGTAATGTGTGTCATATAATATGTTTAGAAACGTTTATAATACATATTGGTTTTGATAGAGCTTTGAAATTTATACGATTTTTAATCTAAAAGGAGGTTTTTTATAGGGAAATCATTTTCAAGATAACTGGCGCCTTTAAAAGAAGCCATGGTTGATGAAAGTTCAATTGCGGTGCAATCAAAAGTGTTGATGATACGATCTGTTGTGGAGATCCAAATATATATATAATGGTTTTACTTTTAACATCTTTTTGGATGTAGTTATTTAAAAGAAGCGCTTTGATTTGAGCATGTGGTCGATCTTCTGCCTAAGTAATAACTTATTACTACTTTAACTTGTGTTGTTGCTTGCCAATAAAATCTATTACTAACGTTAATGTATAATCATCAACTTAAATTGTGCCAATATAACTGGTTTTAATTGTGATTTCTCATATAATGCCAATCCGGTTTGTTCTGTTTATAATACTTAACGGGCATAACAACCCTTCAGTCAATTTCACGATTAGATTTCTAGTTGTACGTTAATAACCTACCAAGACCAATCACCCGTTGATTTCTAGTTAACCATGAACTTAATAAGCCAGCACTGTCTGGGAAGGAAATTCAATTTGAAATCCCAGGAATAGATAAAGTGGGAGTATAATTAACAGATTTTTATCAAATTAGTAATACAAAAATTGTAAGCTAGTGATAGTCTTATCTCGTAACCTTTTTTAATTAATTCCACCAACAACCAGCGACCAGCGTGCGCCGTGCTGTACCCGTTGTAGGTTTACAACCTACCAGGACGTTGTATCACGTTGCGACCCCCACGGTCGTTTCACCCCTTTATCGTCCTGACGATACAGGGGGAGCCGCGCACTTCGTGCGCGGCGGGTCATACAAAGTATGACAACCAGGACGCGCGCAGAGTTGGACTCGATATTTTACGAGTATCACCCGTTTAGTTAATGTACCCGTCTCGTAGTCGTATAATATAAAGTTATAAACCAGACCCGCATTATCATCATATTTACATATTAGGTTTCTGAACTTCAAGTGAATGCTAAAATTTATGCGAGATAAATCATCAAGTTTGAGGATTCCTTGGTTAACGAGGTTTGTCGTGCCACCCTGCTAGCTTATCTAACATTATAACTTTCCTGGTGCAGTGGTAGTTCATGCTAAAAGTAACCAGCCTTGCTCCAGAAAGTTCCATTTTATCGCCTCCGAATACCCCGGACTAGTTAACATAATAATTCTACATTCATTTCATACTCGAACCTCGAAGGTATGTTTCTCTTGTTCCTTTGTGTTATTTACCTGCCTGTATTTGCATCAACTGATAGTGATAAGCAGTACAGTGCACTGCACTTTGGAACCTCTTCGAGCGATCATATTAGTTTCAACTATGACATGGCCCCATTCCGAGATTCTCTGTCCATATGCACGTGGATCAAACGTATCTCCACCTCATCTTCACACCCGATAGTGTTTAACTACTTAACTAGCGTTGACGAGATTTTGATTGCGCCTAATGGCGAATTTAACAGAGTAGTAGCTGATACAGGTTTGGAAAACAGACACAACCTTTTCACAGTACCAGTTGGAAAGTGGTTTAGTTATTGCATAACGTGGTCTGTAGCGTCCAGGACAATAAAGTTATACCTGGACGGTGATTTGGTAGCAACAGACCAGACTACATCGGGAGGAGGCTGACAATGGGAGGGCAGTTATGGTTTGGTGGTCATTATCATTATGGCCGTCATGGATATTCTGGTCATGCGTTAGGAGGAAGCCTTTATCAGTTCAATGTATATTCCAATGTATTGGAGTCGGCTGAAATAAAGAAAATAGCAGAAGGGGGACTATGTTTTCATTTAGAGGAATTTTCCGACACTAGGATCCTTCGATGGGAGGATATTCTGGACAGATCACGGAGTGGGTCTGTGAGTGAGGTAAAAGTGTGTGAGTGGAAAAGGAAACTAGATACTCGGTTGAGAGAGTCACAAGAGAAACTGGCAAGTGTGACTGGAAGGCTGAACGGAACAGAGGCTCAACTTAGTAGGTCGGAGGAGAAAGTGGAGACACTAGCCAATCTTCTTAATTCAACTCAAGAAGAGTTAGAGTCAAGTCAACTGAATTTCACTGAAGCTAAGAAGCAGCTTAATGTAACGAAGGAAAAGCTGGTCACTGCAGAGGAGGAGCTGAAGGGGGTAACATCTGATCTGGAGGAGGTGACTGCTGATCTGGAGGGGGTGACTGCTGAGCTGGAGGAGGTGACTGCTGATATGAACAGGACTGAAACTGCATTGGAAACAGTTACCGGAGATCTAAACTCAGCACAGGCAGAACTAGGAGCTGTAAGTGATGACCTGGAGACTTGCTCCGCCGGCTTAAAAGACATAGGGAGAAAGTTTAAAGAATCTCGAACATTCCACAATGTCACCAGATGGGATGTCCTGTTTACTACCCCATATTTCAACAAGGTCTTCTCGAATGAGCTGTTCCGACAACTCACCAACAGTTGGAAAATGTTGGGTAAGTGATGTTGGGTGTGCAACACTTCTGTCTTCTCTGTTGTTATTGTTACTACATTCTTTGTTTATTTATTTATTTTATAATCAGTTTTTACAAAATTACATTTACTATACGATTTACTGTAAGGTTTTTGCGAAGTGAACTTTAGACTTTGACATTCCCGGTGTTCACTGCATCTAACATTTCAGAAAAGTTCGTGGGCACGAACATGACGGAGGGTGTTATACAACATTTCCGGCATTTCCACCGAGATGAAATGTGCGAAGCCTTCGAACTCATAATGATTGGTAAATTTCGAACAAGCGAGTAGATAAGAATTTGTGATACGTAGGAATATAATATGATACACTTGAACAATCAGTATATCATTTTGTGGTTTTGCTATCAGTATCAGGCTATTATAAAGTACTGTACTAATAATATCTTATGACCATTTAATACTGCCCCCGACCAATATAACACCATATTATTATTTCAGAGCACTTTAAGGATACCGAGATGACAACAGGAATTATGCCATTATGGCTCACTTTATGGAAACTCATTCGAATGGGTGTAAGGAGTGAGGACGACACCGATTCAATACTCATAGACCGGGACGCGCGCGCGCGGACGATCATAGACCGGGGACGACACTGACTCAAAAACCGGGGCGCGCGGGGCCGGGGACGATCCAACTTTTGTTGTTGTTTGCTAAGTACTTTTCACCCAGTTTTTTCGAGCGTACTAAATCACTCTACAGTCGATCTTCGAGATTGTTCTAAAAGGGCCCTCGACAGTTGAAACCAACTTCAATCGATGTATTTTCGGACGCTGATTCCAAATCACCCCCCATGACATAGGGTTAAAATGCTCCCCTGACGAGATATAGGCGAAAAGCTGCCTCGATCACGTGATATGACCGTATAAGGAAGTTAGTCTAATTTCTCGTTAGGGTTAGGGTTTCAGCATATGCTTTTGTTAAGGATTGGGTTAGGGTTAGGGTTGGGATCAGATAATGAGGGTTAGGGTTTCGAATAGTCGTTCAGGACCAGCTAGAGAACGGGTTGAAAAAGTCACGTGACAGTCGAGTGTAGAGTGATTAATTATCATCCCAGTTTTTAGTATGTGTTATGATTTTGATGGTATCAAAGATCTTCAAGGTGGGTGCTACTTGTGATGAACTCTAGAAGGATGGGGTGGTAATACTCGGTCTGGCCGTCTGGAAGCCCATAGAATTCCAGTTCAGAAACCGAGTAAGGAGGTGCGGCTACTGATGAGAAGCCTCCTTAAAGTTTATTTGGGTTAGAAACGACATCTGGGTCCCTACCCTCGCACAAGATTATTCTCAATTTTCTTGTTGTGTTCCACAACTATACTTCTGTATACTTCAGTGATTGGGCTGATGACTCCAGTGAAAGGGCTGGTGACTCTAGTGAAAGTGCTGGTGACGATGAGAAAGACCATAAACCAGGGATTCCTTCGGGAGCATGTAAGATTATATCCAAAGTTTGTTCGCCAATGGGGTGTGTCTGGGTGTCAAAGATCTTCAAGGTGGGTGCTACTTGTGATGAACTCTAGAAGGATGGGGTGGTAATACTCGGTCTGGCCGTCTGGAAGCCCATAGAATTCCAGTTCAGAAACCGAGTAAGGAGGTGCGGCTACTGATGAGAAGCCTCCTTAAAGTTTATTTGGGTTAGAAACGACATCTGGGTCCCTACCCTCGCACAAGATTATTCTCAATTTTCTTGTTGTGTTCCACAACTATTAACATACTAATTATTAAAGTTGATGAGCCTGTAAATTGTATTCATCTTACAAACAGTTTTACATTATTTAGAGGAATAATCACTAATACACTAATAGTAATGGTTCAATACTAACACTTTCTCACGTTATGGTCATGTGAGCTTAGAGTAGTAAAAGGTAATATTGATTACATATTTGATTCTTGAATTTAAGAGTTATGCAGTATTGATTGTTAAACAAATGTACTCAGTTGGAATTTGGGCACCACATATTTCCATGCCATCATCGTACAATTGATGATCTAGACAATTGTGATTATTGGGGTTAATAAAAATATTGCAATATTCACTGTTAAATGTGGTTTAAATTGTTGTGGGAGATGTGGCTTATTATAAAGCATAATCAATAACGGTATCTATATCTTGTGATTGATCGAGAAGCTTTTTTCAAACAATTACTTGTTACATTTATGATTTCAACTGATAACGTTCTTAAATACGCAATATAGTTTCACTGTATTGTATCGAAAGTTAATACTTCAAAATGTATGAAAAATAAATTTAGAGCAACCAAATTTGTCAGTAGCTTTGTTTCCTAAAAATACGTTATGAGTTGCTCGTGGAAAAGACAATTTAATTACGATAAGGTTCCCTTAATCGCAAGGTTCCAGCCACTCCACCTTTTCTTTCCAGTAATGTCCATCCCTAGTTTATCAAAAAGGCCCCCAAGTGATAAGTGTTAATAACTCATGATATGTAAGTCATATTTCTAGATAACCATCACCTTCCATGAACCAAGCCTATAGATCTATATCTATATCTTCAAGTTGATCGGGATGTGATTGAAGGCTATAACGCCGCTACATGAATAACTAAGATTCTGATTGGCTTCAACCACGCCTCAATTTTATGAGCATTTTAATCAGGCAGATTCGGAGTTATAATTTCTATTGCAGACTAAAATACCATAATTTTAGTGATTTGCTCACACATTGGATTTAGGCCCAAAGCCATGTTAAACAATGTTAATGACTTAAATAGTTTCAGTTCGAGTTTATATGATCTTTGTAAGCTTTTTGATTTAGTGCCGAGAAAGACTAAGAGCAAGAATCAAGATGTACAAAATTAGAGGACAGCTGTTCGTTCAGATTCTCCGAGCCAAGAAACTTCACGGCGAGCTGAAGAAGAAGAAAAACAAACCGGACCCGTTTGTTAGGATCACAATAGGAGAGTCGGTTTTGGCTGAAACGAAGGTATTTGTTCGTTATACGTGTCATTGTGTCCAGTGTTAACTTTGCAGATTCAATTATTCTTGCTTTCGCTGGTTACGCGGAAAGTTCTTGGTTCTATATGCTCTCTTAGGTAGTCCAGCGAACGTGGGATCCACGGTGGGACGAGTTCTACTTTTTGGATGTTTGCCACCAGGGGGACACTCTTGATTTACAAGTCTTGGCCGAAACTGAATCAGAAGATACAGATCTTGGGATGCTTAACATTCCCCTAGAGGTAAGCATGCCTCCCAACTTTTCTAATTTAAAAAAAAATACAAACTATTTCGATACTCTCATGGCGTCAGCTAATATTTTATAGACCACAGTATTAGAACTTTAGGATAATATTAAAAATAAATACAAATATTATTACGAAATTTGTCACTCCATTTCAAAATCTAACAAGCACTCTGACTGTTTTCAGAGAGTTTTGGAAGGAGAGGAGGTAGAGGGAGAGTACCATCTGACGATAGGTGGTAGGAAAAGTCCCGGGCTGATATTCTTTAAAGTCATCTTCTTCGGGATGGAGGATCTGGATAAAGCTAGTCTTGTTGAGAACTGCTACTTTGAGCAACGTCCTAATTGCAAGGTTTGCGAGATTTCAATAGAATTTGTGGATTTAGACTATCCAGCAATCCACAATAATCTTGCCATGTTATGCAGCTTTGATATTTGTTGTCAATACATTTTGTGTGTTACTGTTTCTGTTTCTGAGTCTCGTCTGCCGTGGCCCGTGTCTGCGATACATCATTTTTCATTAACAGAACGGTAATTTACATGTTCAAAGTTTAGTGAATTCCAGACCGCACTCTCCAGTTTGATGTAGGCGTGTTGATGATAGACGTGAGCATGATGGCGGAGATCGCAAGTTTATCTAGACACGTTACATAATAAGGGATCGTTCACATATCCTAACCAATCACTCACATACTCTATCCTCTTATTATAGCCCAGGTTTATAGATCAGACAAATTAAGGAATATCTTGACCAAGTTGTCGGACAGGATCTGACAGAGCCTCCGTGGACTGAGCACCTTCATTCTGACGAATCTGAGACACAGCCTCTATTTGAGACATAGCCTCAGTATCAATGACAATATCAGTGTACTCAGGTGGAGCGGTTGTCTGCAGCTGGCTCCCTGAGTACTGTGGAAGAGGCGGTTCGGTGTAACGTGGTGGTGGACGGTAGACAGGTGGAAGAGGCGGTCCGTCCCTCATCATACCATTTTCATAATTCTGATTGATCTGTCTCATGTTGTGTCTCAACGCCTGTCTCCTTTCCCAGGAGTCTGAGCCGGGCTGTCTCACCTCGCTCAGGGCCCCTCTTAGAGCTGTAAGTCTTGCCTCTTGATTCCGCAATCTTCTAGAACCAGAAGGATCAGGCCTCGGGATGTAAGGAGGCAGAGAACTGTGGTAGGAAGGAGGAGCAGATATCACTGATAGCGTCTCATCCAGAACCTCTCCTCCGCCTCTTAAAGCATGATCCTCACCTTCAGCTCCACCATAACAAACTTTCCACAAACCAGTACAGCTCCTCACACCAGTACACCAATCATGCAGAATAATGCAGCAGTTCTGAGCACAGCTGTACACACAAACCAAACCGGACAAGAGCCAGTAACATATGAGATAAGCAAGGGTCAGGGGAGCGCAGATGTAGACAAATATGGTGCAGAAGAAGATGGGATACCCCTCTGATAATATCACGTTCCTGATGGGGTTGTCGAATAGGTAGAACAGGAAGACTGTTATTAAGTTGAATAGCTGAGTCAGACAAACTCGCAGTACAGCTTCTCTCATGTTGAAGTGACCAGATGTGCTGCTGGGTTATAGTCTCATGTAGATAATGCTTCAGTAGAACTGCACAACAAGGTGTAGATTGAAAAGCTAAGAAATGAAAGTGATATAAGAGCAATCTGATATTAATCTGAATCAGCGGTAAAAAACTCATTTATAACGTAGCGATATTGTTCGTGTAAATCATGGTATAAATATCCGCGCAATACTAAAGAAACAAATGTGTAGCTCAACTAAGCTGATAATGTAAGCTTACCATGTACATTTTAAGTGTAACATTACTCAGTTATAAACTGTCAGTATTGAGGTCTGGACTCTGGCGTAACTTTTGTAGTGAACCAGGGTCCTGAATTTACCGTACTATATGCTAATGAAAGCGGTAAAACTAGCTGTTTGTATCAGGGAAGATTAAAGGACTTCTTGGACTCCTCTTGCTATTTAGTAAGACCATTCCTTTCTAGACTAGGTTGATGTATTTTAATTGAAACTCTTTGTAGGTAACTCTGATGGAGAACGATGTGAGTGTATTCGCAGCTCTAGAAGCAGCTACAGAATTTATCTATGTGTCTGGTTTTTGTGTGACCTCCTCAGATCTGGAACAAAGGTCTCAGCAAACAATGAGTAAGAACTTGTTATGTTCGGTAAAACTTCGTACCAGCTAAATTCCGCACTTTATTGCTTTGATAAAGTGAAGTTACATGGAAAATTTATTTCGAACCAACTTATTCTGGTCGAAAGTTGAAGTTTAAACTGGTACGGAGTATGAAGTCAGTTGATTGATCAAAAATTGTCCAAAAAGTAATTTATACTTACAATTATTATTATCTTAATTAAGTTAATAATC